CCGTATTCCCGCGGTATCCTATTCGTATCCCAGATATGAGGGATGCTCGTATTCGGGATACGATCAGGATACACAGGATACAATGGGGATACTGAGGATGCGACGAGGATACAGATGATACGACGGAGATACAGATGATACGACCGGGATACCGGGATACCACAATCCGCTTTTTCTCCCTCGACTAGAGTTCTCCTTCAGACACATTCACGTCTTCATCTATCCATGTATTCTTCTTCGTCCTCAATTACTGCAAGTCTTACGCATTCAAGTGCGACAGGATTCTGTACATAAAACGTAAAATATTTTCTTTACTGGCTTGTGTAAAGTTATAAGTTTGACTTAGAATTTGAGTTATTGAATACCTGAAATCTAAAAAGTATCAATTTAGGGTCTGAATGACTCAAATATCGAGATATTTAGGTATTCAACTAACCTCGACATACTAGCTAGTTGGCACGATAAAGAATGAAGGCATTACGAGCTAGGGATCTTGAATAGCTCGAATAGTTGAATATTTAGCTAGCTGAATGAAGGTGCAATACTTGAATTCGACTTTCGCACGTGAATCTACTAAACTTACGTTACACCTATTGTTTGCAATTTCTTTGTGCCTTCAGAAAATAAACTCACAATCCAGTCTACGTAGGACCATAGCAGATCCGTATCAGTTCATGTCTGTGAACTTGTTGATTAGCTCTACTTCTAGAGAATTGACCAGGTTCACTAGTAGTAATTACAATAAATAGATTGCGTTTACCTGTTTCAATTACTGGAAGATTTGACACTCCTACAAATTCAAATCGATGTAGATAAACACAAGATGGCCAATGAAAAGATATATTGAAAGTTTTTTAAGCTTAGAGCGATAGATTACATTCAAAAAATATGAGTAGGCCTTTCACTACAAATTATTTATGAAGATTACTTCGTTGCAATTTACAAGTTTTGTGTCAACAATACGATTTTCAATCTTTTTCTTACGAATTGAAAAACTGCACAGTGCCGATATGTTGTACTCATTTTAGAATCGACAGCATCGCCGGTGATAGCCTCTCGAGACGAAGTTACGACGGTTTACTCTGGTGCGTGGACTGTCAAGAGCCCAATGTTTTCTCGTGACCCACATCAGTTGGAAAAACATTATTACTATCAAGTTATTGAATTAAGCGTTTCGATGATGGGCACTTACACGTTCACTAGTAGAAGTTCAATCAATACTTATGGTTATATCTACAATGATGATTTCAACTCCTATGATCCTACTCTGAACTTGTTATCACAAGATGATGATAGCGGTGGCAAAGAGCAGTTCAAAATTAGTACTTTCCTTCATCCCGGACGTAAATACATTCTAGTTGCCACAACATTTAGTTCGAAAGCCACCGGAAAATTCTCGATTGTTTCAACTGGTCCCACTTCTGTGAACGTTCATTCTAAACGTCAATCAAGAGCAGTTTCTAGCGAAAAAGCCAGTAAGTAGAACAAGTGCGATGTTTTTATCTGGGTATCTATCTGACATTAATCTAAAATGGAGAGATGGGCTCGAGTGTTAAAATCAGTATTGGCGTGAGATCAGGCGAAAAAGACCAAACACACCCGTACTCTATAAATCATAACTATTTATCATCGACTAATGGTTAATACTAGATATTCACAAACTGAGACGTTATTTTTTACTAAAACTGAGGCTGAGTGTCTTCAATTTCCAGAAGTGCTATTTAAATTCATTTCTGCCAACACTCAGAAGTGAATTTTGTTCTTCTTTTCTTTTCTTTATTCATCCATGATTATCCACTTGCCTATACATTAATGGCAACAGTAAGATTTTCAAAACGCATATAAAACCAATGAACATGCATGCGTTCTCATAAAAATGTAAAGTATTTTTCACAAATATTTTATCTTTGTAATCACATCGTAATTTAATATTATTTTTACACTATTTGAATAAACTCAATAGCGAAGTTGATGAGAGATAATTATCAAACTACTTTTCTAGTCTAAATACGCTGTTCTCTGTTTAAATGACTAGAAATTTCAACAGACTCGACAGGATTGACGTCCACTGTTTGTTCCTTGTACCCGTGATTGACATGTTCACTGTGAACTTAAAGGACCATATTTAAACACCAAAATAATAGAAAATAAAAATGGATCTACATCTTTATGTTTGAGGGTACAAAACATTTAGGACAAGCTCAATAACGCGACATGTCACATACGTATCTGTTATAATGTTTCCAAGGGAGTGGTAACATTTGACTAGATACTAGTCCAGAAGACCAAAATAATGTTGAGTGTCGCAATCTCGTTGACATTTTTTGGTTTGTTAACCGTCATGCATTTATGCAACCAGAAATCATTAAAACTGCTTCTTACTCATGTTTTTCAATCAATAATCGGTGACTGGTCAAGAGATAAAAGAAAAGCTAGTCTCTTAGCAAACATCTTATTAGAGATCGAACACGTGACCGTTCCATCAAGTGAAAACATACGAATTATAAAAGATCCCTAAACGAAAGACCTGAAGCGTATACTGAAATGATTAATGTTACTTTCCTTTAAATGCAAAATTTCTTTGAGCGTGATCTCTATTGCATGAGAACAACGGAATCACAATAAGTAAGATTAAGAAATTCAACTAACACTATTAAAGAATTTTCAGGACCTAAAGAGTAAAACGTCAAAATTCACCCATCTCCCGAACAGTCACACGGTGGCAGATATACACATAACACCCTTTGGAACAATCACAAACCGTGACGCACACTGAAATTCACACGAAAATCTGTGGAAATCGTCACAGACAGTCACGCTAATCTTTATCAAGTTCTTCAGGGCAACATAGGAATCACTTCAATCTCAATGTACTTCAGCATTCATTATTATTCTTACTTCGCGAAAGCTTTAAAAAAATGGTTTCACCACTCGTACTCTCATGATTCGAAAACCTACAATAGTATGCCTTGAGTTTGCGACATTCTGAGAGATAGCGTGAATGATGGTGGGTTACTTCTCTAAATGTATACTTTTACACTCATTATCAATTGTACTTTATATTAATGAGCTGTCTTTTCCAAGTGTAGTACATTGATATCACATGACAATTCATGGTCGGACTGTAATACGTTTGTTTAGGTAGTAACGAATAACGATCGAGATCATCCGATCATATTTTGTAATCTTCTATAACAATAGCTATCTTTCATTTTGACAGCTTCCAATACAATTCGTGCTACGTCGACGTACACTGGCTCACTATTATCCAGTAGTCAAACATTTCATCGACCCAACGGTGACATAAATGACAACTATTACTTTCAGGCTATACAAGTCACCGTATCCACACCTGGCACTTACAATTTCACAAGCAACAGTGGCCTCGATACTATGGGTTATTTTTACGAGACTTACTTCGATCCATCCAACCCACTGGTCAATTTAATCACCTATAATGACGATAGTGGTGGTAGGCTCCAGTTTCTTGTCGAGGTGTACCTTCAAATTGGACGAACGTATATTCTTGTGGTTACAACGCATGGAGATTCTGACACAGGAAGTTTCTCAGTCTCCGCTATGGGACCAGGCTCCATCGGTCTTACCTTGATCACTCCAACAACGAGTCAGCCAATAATAACACGTGAGTTTCTTACTAATACTTTCTCTGCGATTAAAATATGTGTTGTTCATTCCATTGTCAAAAACTCAACCACAAAGTTTCTTCTAGTTTCTTTTACCTATTCACTAAAAAGACAAGTCTTTGCCGGTTTTTTATGTTCATCACATTCAAAACGATTGTCTTTGTTTCTTTTAGTATCTACTGCGCCGCCTATGTCATCATCCTATGCGGGTGCACTGACATCCAATAGTCCAATATTCTATCGACCTAGCGGTGATACAAACAAATACTACTACTTTCAGGCTATACAAGTCATGGCATCCACACCTGGTACTTACACTTTTACAAGTAACAGTAGCATCGATACTAGGGCCTATTTTTACGAACCCTCCTTCGATCCATCCAATCCGAATATGAATTTGATCACTAGTAATGATGATAGTGGTGGCTCATACCAGTTTCGTATCCAAATGTATCTCCAAACTGGGCGAGCATATGTTCTTGTGGTTACAACTCATGGGAGTGCTGAAATAGGAAGTTTCATAGTCTCTGCCATTGGGCCAACTTCCGCCAGTCTAATGCCGATCATTGCATCAACAAGCCAGCCAATAACAACGCGTGAGTGTCTCACTAATACTTTCCAAGAAAGTAAATTATATGTTGTCAGTTTTGCTCTGAAACCTCGAATCATGAAATTTCTTTCGCTAGTTTCTTTTGCTTATTCACTAGGAAGACAACATTTCTTGTTTGTTTTATGTCAATCAGTTTCGAAACGATTGTCTTTGATTTTTCTAGTACCTACTCCACCGCTCGTGTCAACGTCATATGCAAGCGCACTATCATTCAGCAGTCCAATATTCTATCGACCCGAGAGTTTTGTAGTTGGAATCTATTTCTTTCAGGCTATACAAGTTACTGTTTCCACGGCTGGTGATTACACTTTCACAAGCAACGGTGACATGGACACGGTCGGCTATTTTTACGAGAATTCATTCAATCCATCAAATGCTTCGGCGAATTTAATTACCGACGATGATGATTCGGGTGACATCGACTACCAGTTTCGTATCGACGTTTACCTTCAAGTTGGACAAACTTATATTCTAGTGGTTACAACGCATCTTTATTTAGAAACGGGAAATTTCTCAATTACCGCTATGGGACCAGCCTCCGTCGGACTTACGTTGTTCACTGCATCAACAAGCCGACCAACAGTACCACGTGAGTTTCTCACTAATACTTGCCTTGCAGATGAAATATAGGCTGTTAGTTCTGCTTTGAAATCTCGCAACACGGAATTTCTTCCTCTACTTTCTTTTACCTATCCGCTAAGAGGACAAATCTACTCAGTTTTTCAGATCAATCACTTTCAAAGCAAATGCTTTCGATTCTTTTAGTCTCTACTACATCTGGTGTACCATCGTCATATGCTGATGCACTATCATCCAATAGTCCAGTATTCTATCGACCCAATGGTTATATAGGCGATATCTATTACTTTCAGGCTATACAAATCACTGTTTCTGTAACTGGTGCTTATAGTTTTACAAGTAACAGTGACATGGACACCAGGGCCTATTTTTACGAGACTTTCTTCGATCCATCAACTCCGCTGGTCAATTTGATCACAGATGATGATGATTCTGGTGATGACATCTTCCAGTTTCGTATCGATGTTAATCTTCAATCTGGACGAACGTATATTCTCGTGGTTACAACGCATGGCGATTATGTAACAGGAAGTTTCAGAGTCTTAGCTAGTGGCCCAGCTTCTCTTGGTCTTATGTCGATTACTCCATCAACAAGTCGACCAATAATAACACGTGAGTTCCTTACTATATCTTACCGTTTACAAGCTGAAAAGAATGGCAAACAAAATCAATCTTGTCAATTCTATTCGACTGATGCTCGACTCCAATTGATTTGACTTGGCGCATAGCTTATGACCAGTTTTAGAACGTCCTCACGATAAAGACTTGTTCACCTTTTGAGCAGATGAATGCCTCATCTACTTTTTCAATATAGAGAAGTTTTTTATTTGGTATTAATAATGACATTAGCTGATATGAAAATTCACAGTCAACAATTCGTAATTGTCTATATAACAAGGAAACATTATCTTAGTAGCGAAATGTAGATATATCGTGCAAAACTGTGTTGCCGTCAGTAAAGATAAAACGAGCTCCTAGTGTCTGTATTATACACTTGTCTTCGGTCTCTATGTAATGCAGTCTTTTTCTCTTCATCATAGTTACACTAATTGTCCTTTATGGCAACGAGTCACTTAAATGCGGCATAATAGTTTTATTCATTCCTTTATTAATTCTCGACAGTTTTCTATGCTGCGCTGAATAGTCGCCTATAATAGGGTGAGATCAACATCAGCATTAAACAGCTGCTGATACTTCCCTAGTAGTTTATAAAATATTATGTGAATTCATCAATGTCCTAATAAGTATAAATTCATACGAATGTAAACCCTAATGCGACATTGCTGATCAGTCGATAATAAAGTTTTGACTTATCATCAACTTCTGCTCAGATGAGACTAATACTACGGGAACTGAACCGAACTCTGACTGGAATGATTACCGATCGTTAACCATTCTTCAACAAACATATTGAGATCAGGTTCATCAACAATCTCAAATGAACCTATCGAGCCTCCCTACACATCAAACACAGTATTATTTCACAGATTCTTTCCACTTAACTCAATCCTTTGCGACTACTTCTGATTTCGAAAATTGAATATATGCCTGCAGGATAGGTCAGTCATGGGATAGAGCCCTCAAATATCGAAGCAAGTTCTGAGTCGCCGCACTTGAGTTCATATATCGATATGTTTCTGAACATTTCGTTTACGATGCGGATCTAGACAAGATTTCGAATTTGTCTTGTTCATTGCCATTCATTTATGTTAAGAAAAAGATTTCCCAACAATCTGCAGTAGATCATTTATTAATTCAAGTTATTCTCGATCAAAAATTTTGCTTTGCCGTTGATTGAAGGATACTTCGTGTCCGACAATGTTTGCATGACAACAACGGTTATTTTCAGAACCGATAACAATGAAGCTGGTATCAGCTAGTCCTTTACAATAGCAGCATTACTAAGAGACTGATCCGATTTCATTGTTAAAGAGGAGGCTAAAAAAAGTGAAGGAAAACATATCGTGAGTCACGAAGGCTTCTTGCATCAAGGTTAACAATACCGAAATGAAAATAGAGCAGATAAGAAACAATTCGAAAAATAAAAAATCTTCTCTATTTAAGCTGCATTATAAGTTACTCGACAACAAAAATTGATGAGTGGAGATAATCTCAGTCGGAAACCAGAAGTCATGGATGAAAGTTTAAATCATGTCTTCTGGAAGCGATTATGATTGATTCTGTACTGTATAATTGCTGAAAATGGACATTTGGTTGAGTTCGATTAAGTTGTAATCTCTGTTATCTACTTCCCTCAAAAAGACAAAAGTTACTTTCATTGTTTGTCTCGCTTACTTAACGAGTACCTTCGATTCTTCTAGCATCTACAGCACCTTCTGTGTCGTCCTCATATTCAAGTGCATTATCAATCAACAGTCAAGTATTTTATCGACCTTATGGCGATGACGATGATTACTATTACTTTCAAGCTATACAAGTCACCATATCCATAACTGGCGAGTATTCGTTCACAAGCAACAGTGATATCGATACTGTAGGCTATATTTACGATACTTCTTTCGATCCATCCAAACCGTTCACGAATTTAATCACCGATGATGATGATGCTGGAGACATCGACTACCAGTTTCGTCTGGATGTTAACCTTCAATCCGGACGAACGTATATACTAGTCGTCACAACACATTTACAATATATTACGGGAACTTTTACGGTGTCAGCTGTTGGCCCAGCCTCCGTTGGTCTCCAGTCAATCACACCATCAACAAGTCGACCAATAACCACACGTGAGTTCATCCTCAACAGATTTCCTGCGAATAAAATATTCGCACTAGTTGACCACTTTGAAAGTCGCACTACAGTATTTCTTCTTATGGGAAAAATGCTGACAAAAAAGTAGCTTAAAATTCATTCAGTGACAGAAAAATCTAATTTTCATCGATTAAGGTATAAATACTTTTTCATTCACATTCACATCGCCAATGTACTCTAAAAACCACCTAGAAGCATATGGGCATTCACTTTTAACGAAGATGACATAGTCAAAATCCATCTTTCTACAAGACTGTTCAAAAATAACTAAACGCACATCGTTTCAGTAATGCTCATCCATGAGATGAACATATCGATATGGATTTGTCGCCCAATCTTCTGGATTTCCGGAGGCTGTAAAAATTTCATTACTGATTTCTGGAGAGAGTCATAGTATACTGAAAGAGGACCTTCAAAACTTCTTGGCTTTTATTCTATTAATATAATTACCATTTCAAGATCTGTACGTTGCAGGACAGCTAAAAAAAACATTTTTAGCAACCATTTCTAACTTGTGGTTATCGATTCTCATTGATGAGGATTACTGAAATGCTGTTTCTTCTTGTTTTCTTGAGAAATTTAGCAGATAGCCAGATCTAGACTATTGCATTTTTGTTAACCGTAAATGCGCACATGCCAATAGATATTTTTCAGAAAGCAATCAAATTTTCATATGATTACTTAAAGGACTCCGCATAGAGACAATAAACTTTGTGATCTCTGGAGAAAATTACATAGTCAATCAAACGGTAGCGACATCCTTTTACAGTTTAGAATAGTAGGTACACCGTTGCTAATTTCAGAAACCTTGTTCTTTACATTCTAAATGAACATCATTTATGCCGGCTGTTTCAGGAGACTCGAAGCTCGTCTTTTTAAAAAGTCGTAGACCACAGTTGGGACTTTCAGTGCTAGATATCAACTACCAAATCATTCTAGAGATCGATCGATCGATAGTCTTAACTTAGTATCTGTATTAGACTCAAGAAGTCTATTTTTTGTGAGTACCCTTGATCAAACAAAGTGTTTCATCAAGCTAGAACTTCTACTCACTATTGACTTGTATGATTTCTATGTATGCTAAAAGCTGCAGACCTCTATGTATTATAAATCATCACATATAGAGTCTTCAAGTTGCACGAATTGTGAACTTTGCCTGTGCCAGTTGAACCTATTCAATACTATGAGTTCAATAAGTTGAGCTAAAATGTTGTCTATGAGTAGCACTTATAGGTACATACATCTAGAAAAGTGTTTTCGACTCAATCATCGAATTCGTACTTGCCGCATTCTGCGATAAAAATTCCTTATTTTCGATTCATATGCATGCTTTAGTTTCTTTTGAGAAAATTCCACAAAAATTGAAGCATCAATATTTTATATTGAACTGCCTACGAATTTACAAAACAGTTGCCTCTATCACATTTCTTAACTTGTGCGAATTTTCAGAGCCTCCATTAAGTTTATTTTATGGGCAACGATCCTCATCCAGCGGTATTCTCTCATAGTTTACAATAAGAAACTGAAACCTGTTAAGACGAAATTTTCAAACAACCATAAGCAAGGACAATATAATTGGTTTCCAGATAGTCATATTTTTATCCCTGGAAAATCGATGTCTTTGTAACATAGTCAGATTTTAATCTATTTATCGGCAAAACTTTAAAATGAGTCACCTTCTTCTTTCTGTGCTTTACATTAAGACGAAAGCAAAGATTCTCTTTCTATTTGAGTACTTTCAAACATGATACCTTTTGATTCTTACAGTATCTACGGCACCTTCTGTGACATCATCGTATGCAAATGGACTATCTACCAGTAGTCCGATATTTTATCGACCCGATGGTAATGCAAACTCCTTCTACTACTTTCAAGCTATACAAATCACCACGACCGTAGCTGGCATGTATACTTTCCGAAGCTACAGTGACTTCGACAGTATGGGCTATATTTATGATACATCTTTCGATCCATCCAATCCATCGGCGAACTTAATCACGGACGATGATGATGGTGCCATTCAATTACAGTTTCTTATCGAAGTTAATCTCCAAGCTGGACGCACGTACATTCTTGTGTTCACGACTCATAAGCAAAATATTACCGGAAACTTCTCAGTCTCAGCCGTTGGTCCAGCCTCCGTTGGTCTCATGTCCATTACGCCAACAACAAGTCGACCAATCGCAACACGTAAGTTTCACGCCAATAATTTTCCTCCAAGTAAAATGTATGCTCTCAGTTCTACTTTGACAATCCGAACTAAGGTATTTATGCCACTACTCTTTTTTGACCAACGATCGGAGAAGCCAGACATCCTCGAATTTTCTTTAACTCAGTTTAACAGAGATTGCCTTTTGTTGTTCTAGCATCTCCAACGCCATCTGTGTCGTCATCGTATGCAAATGCGTTGTCAACAAGTAGCCCAATATTCTATCGACCTTATAGTCTCTCAGACGATTACTACTATTTCCAGGCTGTACAGATTACTATATCCATGGGTGGCATTTACACGTTCACTAGCAACAGCACAATAGACACTAGGGCATATTTTTACAATAGCTCTTTCGATCCATCTAGTCCAACGGTCAACTTAGTTACCGATAATGATGATGGAGGTGGTTATCCAAATTTTCGTATTCAAGTTGTCCTCGAATCTGGCCGAACATATGTTCTTGTGGTCACAACTCATAGAGAATATGTTACAGGTGGTTTTTCAGTCTTAGCTGTTGGTCCAGCATCTGTCAGTCTCATGTCGATCACACCATCAACAAGCAGACCAATGACAACACGTAAGTGTTCCGAGAAAACTTTTCTTACGAGTACAATCTATGCCATATCCGAAATCTACGAAATTCAAATCCTAACATTTCTCTAGTTGATTATTTTAATATATTTATTAAGAAAAAGATAACCCTTCTGACTTTGTTCTTGAACTCAATTTAACAGCGACTACTTTTGATTCTTCTAGTATCTACAATGCCTTCTGTGTTAACCTCGTATTCAAATGTATTATCGTCGACTAGTCCAATATTCTATCGACCTTATAGTCTGAATAACAAATACTACTACTATCAAGCGATACAAGTCACTGCATCCACGAATGGTGATTACATTTTCAAAAGCAACAGTACCATCGATACTAGGGCTTATTTCTACCAAAATTCATTCGATCCATCAGATCCAACGGTGAACTTGGTTACTGATAACGATGATGGTGGTGGCTATCCAAATTTTCGCATCCTAGTTTTTCTTGAATCCGGACGAACATACGTTCTAGTGGTCACAACTCATAGGGAGTCATTCGTAGGAAACTTTTCAGTATCTGTTACTGGCCCAGCTTCCATCAGTCTCAATTCAATCAGCCCATCAACAAGTCGACCAATAATAACCCGTAAGTTGTCGGCTCCTTTAATGTATTTACTGAGAAAAGGATAACCTTCCTTCGTTTGTTTTTGAACTCTTTTTTAACAGCAACTATTTTCGATTCTCCTAGTGTCTACGGCACCTTCTGTGTCGTCATCCTACGCAAGTGTGTTATCGTCGACTAGTCCAATATTTTATCGACCTTATGGTCTGGCAAACAAATACTATTACTTTCAAGCTATACAGATCACAGCACCCACGGCTGGTATTTACGTTTTCAAGAGCAACAGTACACTCGACACTTGGGGCTATTTTTATCAAACTTCTTTCGATCCATCCAGCCCAATGGTGAACTTGGTTCTCAATAACGACGATAGTGGTGGTTACCCAAATTTTCGTATCGAAGTCTACCTGGATACCGGACGAACATACGTTTTGGTGATCTCCACGCATAGGGAATTAGCCATGGGAAACTTCTCAGTGTCTGCCGTTGGTCCAGCCTCCATCAATCTCATATCAATCACACCATCAACGAGTCGCCCAATACTAACATGTGAGTTCTTCACGAATACTTTTTCTACAAGTAAAATATAATGGCTTGTTCTCTTGAAAAATGAAATCATCACATCTCTTTCTTTAGTTGCTTTAATCTATTTACTGAGAAAAAACCTTTTTCAGATTTTTCGTGAACTCTTTTTAACAATGACTGTTTTCTATTCTTATAGCACCTACGGTACCTCCTGCGTTATCGTCGTATGCAAGTGTGCTATCGTCGAGAAGTCCAATATTCTATCGACCTGGGGGTCAAACAAACAAATACTACTACTTTCAGGCTATACAGGTCACTGCATCTACCGCCGGTACTTACTTTTTCAGGAGCAACAGCACGATTGACACGAGAGGCTATTTTTACCGTACTTCCTTTGATCCATCTGATCCAACGGTGAATTTGGCAACCGATAATGATGATGGTGGTGGCTCGCAGCAGTTTCTCATCGAGGCATATCTGGAATCCGGACGAACATACGTTCTAGTGGTCACTACACATAGGGAAACAGTTATGGGAAATTTCTCAGTTTTTGCTACTGGACCAGCACTTGTTAGTCTGATATCAATCACGCCATCAACAAGTCGACCAATAACAACACGTAAGTTTCCTGTGCGTGTTTTTTTTTATGAGTAAAATGTGTACCACAGGTAGTATCTAGAAAATTGAAGTCATAGAACTTTTTTCTAGTTGTTTATATATATATTTTTTCACTAGAAACAAACTTGTCCCCAAATATGTTAGTGACCTCTTTTTTAACAGTGGTTACTTTTGATTCTTCTAGTATCTACGGAACCTTCTGTGTTCTCATCATATGCAAATGTACTTTCGTCCAATAGTCCAATATTTTATCGACCTACAGGTCAGGCAAACAAATACTACTACTTTCAGGCTATACAAGTCAGTGTACCAACTGCTGGTACTTACACATTTACAAGCAACAGTACAATTGACACTAGGGGCTATTTTTACCGTAATGGTTTCGATCCATCTGACCCAACAGTGAACTTGGTTATGGATAACGATGATGGTGGTGGTTCCCAGCAGTTTCGTATCCAAGTTTTCCTGGAATCCGGACGCATATATGTTCTAGTAGTTACAACGCATAGAGAATCAACCATGGGAAACTTCTCAGTGTTTGTAACTGGTCCAGCATCTGTCAATCTCATGTCATTCACGCCATCAACAAATCGTCCAATAACAATACGTAAGTTCTTGATGACTATATTCTATTGCAAGTTAAAGATTTACCTTATCTAGTAAGTTAGAAACTGTCACGTCTGTATTAGTTTCGGTTGTTTGTGTAACGTTTGAGCTCAGAAGACACGTCAGCTGGATTTTTTGTGTAACTTACTTTGACAGCAACCGCTTTTGATTTTTTTAGTAACTACGGCATCCTCTGTGTCATCGTCGTATGCTAGTGCATTGTCGTCGAATAATCCAATTTTTTCGCGACCTCAAGGTAGCAGCGGCCTTCGATACTATTATCAAGCCATTCAAGTCACTGTATCTGCAGCTGGTACTTACACTTTCCAGAGCAATAGTACGATAGACACTAGGGGCTACTTTTACCATGCTCCTTTCGATCCATCTGATACGACTGTACACTTGATTACTGATAATGATGATGGCGGCGGCAGCTTACAGTTCCGTATCCAAGTTTATCTCCAATCTGGACAAACATACGTTCTAATTGTCACAACACATAGAGAATCTATTACAGGAAATTTCTCAGTTGTAGCTGTTGGTCCAGCGACCGTCGGTCTCATGGCCTTCACTCCAGTCATAACATGTAAGTTCTTGAGGCATATTTCTTTGGCAAGAAAAAATATAATGTAGCTAGTATCCATTGATAAAGCTAGTACGTTGAGTTGCAAATTGAATAACTCTAGAAAAAAAGCAGCTAAAGGACAGGAAGTTCCAGTTTCGGAAAGAGAATCAGTGATTTCATTCTATTATGTTAATTTATATCTATCATTATAAAGGAAAGTGGTCAGCAGATAGTTACACTTCTGTTGCACAATGTCGTGAAAATGAATCACTGTTTAAATTTCATTGCTACAACATTTAAATGATAGCTCTGATGGTCCCCTATTGTTTTCAGCAATTTTTTATGTTATCATACTCTCATTATGCATTCTGGAGGCATAATATAGGTATCTACTTGTATAACATCAGTGACTTAGTGCCAATATCAAATATGTTCGAACATAGACACTCGAGCATATTCAGTATCATAACAAGGATTGTTCGCCTTGAGCGTTCTTTCCTAAGCGTCTACGAAAATTATTCCAAAAGATAAATTTAGCATGCTTGAACCGATAGAGCTGAGTAGAATTATCAGAAAACCAGATACTATTGTTTGAAGTGTTTAGATGTCTTGATAATTTCATTCAATTCATGCCAATTTCGGTATCTTTTGAAGCTGGTTTTTACGTTCATCATGTTACTTCTAATAGATCAAGATAGGTTTTGCTTGATTGGAATATAAATACAGCTCCCACAACTCCTTCAGTACTAGGAAATTCAGGTGCATAACTGATCTTTTCGAATACTTTTCGTATACACGTAGGAAAGGATATTTTATGAGAACAGACATTGCCAGGATTCTTAAAGTACCCGAGTACCTATCTTTCGATACATTTGGCGTTGACTTTTGGTCACGGATGCTATGTAAGTGGATACCTGCATTGTTTTCAAGATTCATACAGGGTTAGTAAAACTATCATTCAGATGTTTTGAGAATGAAATTTCGGCGGCAGTTTTATCTATACTACTATCAAAAAACACTTTGACCCCCTATTGTTCACTTCCCTATTCATTGATACAGTAAAATTTACGTCATTTAATAAAATCATTTATTTCCTTTCCAGAGTTGAAAGCTGCAGCCTTATAGTTATTTTCTTTCTATAGCTATTGAGTTGACAATCGAATGCACTGACTCTATGAATTTATAGTGTATCTTGGCAAAATACACCATAATATTCTTTAACGAGTCTCTTAGACTCATTTATTTAGCTGACAGTCCTCGTTAGTTTGTCGCTGAATTCTTCTAATAACTAATTTGCCTTTAGTGCTGGCAACCTATCCGAATGCACTACTGCCAAATAGTCCACGGTTTTATCGACCCAATGGTGATAGAAAAGATTACTATTACTATCACGCTATTCAAGTCACTGTGTCCACAGATGGAGCTTACTCTTTGGCAAGTGTATCTGGTATCAACACCATGGGTTATTTATACGATACATCTTTCGATCCATCCAATCCATCGGCAAGTCTTCTCATCAGTAGTGATAATGGTGGCATCAGAGGAGGATTTCGTATCAACTATGTCCTCTCATCTGGACGTCAATACATTTTGGTTGTCACGACATCTCAAGCATCTCTTACTGGAGATTTTTGGATACTAGCTCGTGGTCCAGCTTTGGCCAGGCTTACATCAATTGCATCACCACCAACTAGTAAGTCATGTTTCTTCGTATGTAAGATTACCCTACGTTTTCATATTTTATCGAATGATTGTGTGTCATGTGAGAAAAGTTTTTATCACTGACATGATTAAAATTATTTTGTTTGTAAATAATCTGCAGAGCACTTGCACTCAGTTTTCAAATTTACTTGATGAGTGCGTTAACTAGTTATAACTGAGAGCCTATAACTTGCTTTGAGGGTAGGGTATAAGTGTAAATGCTGGCTGCAAGAATACACTCATTCATAATTCTACTCGGACTGAGGCATCTATATCGACATTCTGACTAACACTACCACCGATGTCCGTTTCTCCTCTCATATTTACACAGGTTCTTGGATGTTCTATATGGAAAGCATCCAGACCCGGTCGTAATACACGATGGAAACTAACGTACGACTAAGTCAATACTTTGCTCAGTTTTGTGATGGACACGTACTGTTTTCAGTTCAGCCGGTCCTTCACCTTCACGGCATTAGCTTTCCCACGAGCAGCACTTAGTCGATCCACATAATCAGGTAGATCATAGTACTAATCTTGTCTATCATTTGCACTCATCTTTAACTTGTTTGAAATGATACTTTAGCTTTCGAATAACGACAAATCTTAGTTCCGCTATAACTATTTTCACGCTTGATTTTTACCATATTTTCTAGATATTTACTTTGCATTTTTTGAAATGTAGTGCCTGATATTCCTTAAAAATATGCATTATTTCGCTTTGTAGAGAAACCACATAGATTCTTATCGGCAAAAATGTATGTAGGTAGATTCACAAAGAGTGAGAATCAAAACTGAATATAGGAATGACACCATTCTTTTTTGTAATATCCTTTAATAACCTTCAAGTAGAGGCTTCTTAAAGTAGAAAATGCTCTGTTACTAGTAGAAACATTATGTATTCTTACGAATATTAATATGATAAGAGTGTTGACGCCTCGTATTCATTATGGAGTTTGAACTCATATAATGCTAATAGTAGTGACTTTGTACAGTCTGTGATAAGCATTAGCCTTCAATCTAGCTTCACAAACTATTTAGATCCTACAACGAATAATCCAGGTACTTTCATCACTACTGGTAAATCATCGGCATCAATAAAAGCCAGCTCAATTACAATCACAGGTAAGTTGATCGATTGATATGCATGCGTTAATAAACGACGAGAACAATCAGGCGATAGTTATCTAGAATTCATGTAACATCCGTGAGAACAAATATTTTACATTGCTCTTGAGGGTTCGAAATGAGTCGCAATTTCTGCATTCAAATTATCGCGACAGCATATATTATTCTACTGACCTTTGATAAATGCTAAACTCATACCTAACAGCAACTTTTGAAGTTCACAAACGATGAAGATTACTATCCTTTTACCGATCTCGTATAAGCCTATCGAATGAACTAGGAATAAGCCAAGCTCAAGAGTGATCCTACATGAATTGAACATAGTAATAACGTACTCTGAGTCATGGATACGAATCGTCATCAATTTATTGCTTCTGTCTATGGTAAGCTGATCTCTCATTCTGCAGAAAATTCAGTGGCAATATTTTTCAGATAATTCTGATTAATAGTTATTGATCATTGAGAGATGCCCAAATAAATATACTGCACCAGAAACTGAAGAATGCAATCTACAAAAAAATCAATAGTTTTCTAAAATTTCAACCTTGCAAAAAATGATAGAATGAAAAATTTTGTATTGTAAATTACTTAATATTCTGCCACCCTCAACTGTTCAGTTGTTGTTTATTTACATTTCACGGTGTCGTCTACTTCTGAACCATCAGCAATCTAGAAATGACTATAAGTCAGATATAGTTCTTAATAGGTTCTTTTCCGTTAGGAATCTACTTGAGCTTAGATAACTAAGCAGATAATCATAGAATATAAATCTATAGACTATTGTGAAACTGCTTTCTAATATGCCTGCCCAAGAAATAATAGCTAACACACTACTAGATTTATTCTTGATTGTATTCATTTTGAATGATATTCAAACTATTTTTTAGTTATTTGTATGCTGATCATGCCAATGCTTCGAATGCTTCAACAACGTATCTTCTAATCGAAAGACAATGAGACTGGTTAAAATTTATAGTTTGTTCAAACTACCAATTCGTTATTTTTTCCAGTAATAATAAACTAGCTTCTCATATTTCAATTATATACTCAATCTTAATTCTTCTTTTTTTGTATCGAACATTGATTGATTTTGATTAAAGACCACTAACATCAACATCAGTTTTTCACCATCTTTACTATCCTTAGACTTCTATAATAGAAAAATGGCTTTTGATCTTGCTTATTTTACATGAGTAAAGTATTGGATGACACGTTTTTGTTTTATTAGATGAGTTTCACTTGCAATGAAGGAATCTTTTCGGAAAATGCTATTTTTTGATGTTATTCTTAATGATAACTTTGATCATGATTGCCAATGTAATACAAGCTTCTATTTCTTCAAAGTCTGATAGGCGCACCGACCGTTGAGCTCTAAGCAGACGAGTCTCTCGACATTTAAAGTTTTCATATGTAATTCTGACCAAAATAAATAATAAGCTATATATACATTGTTCACCAATATATACAACCAAGTAATCACTCTACTCAGTAAGCACATCAGAGACTTGTTTTAAAAGAATAAAAAGAATTCACAATATTGATATGTAGTATTCACTAAACCAATAATACATATATCGAAACAAAAAAACATGGACAATTATCCTTCGTATATCTCTTCTTAAATATGTCAATTATACAATCATCGAAAGGTAAATATCAAATTTTTGTCGATGATTTTGGAAATCGATGACCAAATAATAGTCAAGTAACATGGTGATGTATATGAGTGCCAATGTGTATGTACTAATGAAGAGAAAACTAATGCTCAGAGCCACTAACTCAGTACATTGTATTTAAAAAATAATCATTCCCTATTAATAATCAAACTTGATTTGTTTATTGGAACGTGACACTTGACTAATATTGTTATTTTTAATTTCTGATGAGTAAAACTCCAATAAAACTAAATAAATTATGAAGTAAAAATGAAGTTTTTAGAAGTGAACCAAATCGAAATACAACTATTCAATACTGTCATCAAAGTAAACAATTCTATGCTCAAGGTAATTATACAATTGTTGTAGAATTAACCTCAGTATAGAAGTTGATTCAATATAGTTCTATGATAATCATTTAGATATACATAATGAAGAAGAAGATGAGAAATAACAAGTTTGATTGATTTCTATTTGTGTTTGTTTTTTAATCAAATATTATACTCGTTAATTTTTATAAATTTTTGCTGAAATATACTACTTGATGTTTTCTTTTCTAAAAATATTTTCTACTAGTATCAAATTATGAAGTGACTTTTTTGTATATTGATTACCATCCCATATTGATTCTCCCATAAAAACTCAAAAAAGAATACGTACATCAATAATATAATTTTGATAATTCGAATCTGACATGTCCAAACATCGATGTTGCATAAATACGAGTGAAAGAATATGTAAACTAATAAGAAAGAATTAATAATACTTTAAATGTTTTCGAAGCAAATTTCAAGTATGTCACTAGCAAGTTTGGATCGAAGAATGATTCTCAATCTTGAAAAATTTTCATTTTTCTTCTGAGAAGTTCTAATGTTTTATTATTTTTTTTTGTTTACCAATGTCCAAAAGAAAAACGCGTATCTTCCCTTCCTCCCGAAATCCAGTCAACTTTACTGTATCTTATTTTCAAGAGAACAACTGCTTATAGATACTACTAGCACAATCTTTTCTTATTTCATTGGTCGAATTGTTTTACCAGTCATGTGCAAGAACAGAACAACACATCAAGTACATATCCAAATGACGACTTTAGTTAATAGCTTTTTGCTGTCTACATGCATATATTAAATTGAATGCAAATAACAGCAGGTCTTTTTATTTAAGTAAACTAATCAATGAGTTCCATGATACAATTTCTTGCTCAAAATTGAGTTTATTATGTTTTATTTTCTTCGCTCTTGTATGATTATAAAACAAATCAAAAAAATATAATCAATAAAAATTTGTCTTCTTTTTTTTTAGGCAATATTGTTTTTTGTTTCTCTTGATGGACGAAACTAATATAGCATCAATTGTTTTGGGAGTCGTAGCCGGTTTTTATAGTACTATATTTTTACTTTGTTTATCAGATGTAGTTCATTTAAATAAAGAAATGACCAAAATGAAGCATGAATTAGAAGATTTGAGAAATCAAAGTATTATATTTAATCGATCATCTTTTGTTGATTCATCAAATAAAATATTATTAACAAGAACAAATATTTCTGGAAAATTATGCTTATCATATGATGAACAACGTCAAATACTTGAATATATTAATTTTATATGCAATATGGCAATACTTTTATTTGGAAGTTATTCAATATATGTTCATGGGATCGGAACACATCATGGTCTTGCTTATCGTTTATTTTTTTTCATATGTAAATTATGTACTATAATTGCATCGATTTGGCTCAATCTTCATTTTAAAAAAGGCTTACCAAGCGATATATTTTTATACATATGGATTGATATTAATTGTGTTGTATCAATATATCGTAGTTTACGTCAAATAATCTGAAATAAATCTATTCAGAAACAAAAACAAAATAGTATCTTTCTTTTTTACTTAATGAAATCATAGGTTTTTAGATAATAATCTCATCGAAATTAAGTAATCAATAACGAATGATGTATCATACCACATTAAACAATCGTATCAAGGCTTTAACTAATAATTATATATATATCAATAGAAATAACATTTCATATTCTTTAATATGTCCGATATGTTTGGATCCTCTAATTGATCCACAAACACATGTTTTATGTGAAAATTCATTTTGTAATCGTTGTATAACAAAATTAAGATATTGTCCATGTTGTCAAACAACGATTATAGAGTTCAATGATCTTATAATCACTGGTGATGTTATAAGAAATGCTCTTGATGAACTTCAAGTAAGAACATATATTTATAGGAATCAGTAAACATCACAAGATAGTTTCTAGCTTATATTTTATCAAACATGATAGATTAAAATTTATGAAAATAAAATAAACATCTTTGATGCAAATGAGATTTTTCAATCGTTCTTTAAATAAGTACATTATCTTTGTTCAAGGTCAATGAATTGTTATTTAATAGAAAAAAAAATCATAAAAACAACTTCGAAGAATCCTTGTTTACATGAGTCAAGAATTAATTATTTCTTAATTGGTGAATTTATTTTTTTATCGTATTTAGATTCAATGTAATATATGTAAACATGTCTTACGTCGTAGTGATTTTAACCTTCATATTCAAAATAATTGTCTTCAGCTACCGTCAATGACATTTGAAGAAGAAAATAAAAATGAAAACTATATGGAAAAACATTTATCAAATATGTATCGTCGTGTACATAAATCAGAAAGTGATTTCTATGAATTGAAAAAAATGATATTGTTATTTTTATTTGTTCTATCAATTATTGGAATAATACTTCTTTTAAATACTATTTTGTTATATATAATTAATTTAATTATATCAGTTATTTTTCCAAAACGGTTATCATTATTTATTCAAGCCATATCAAAATTTTTATTTCATTTTCTTCAGTAATGTTTTTTTTATCATTTTTAATATTTTTTTACTATAAATCCTATTCATTGAATATAAATGTATTAACAGTAAAAATAAATTTTATTATTATTGTTTTTTTCTTCAATAGTTTTATACTTATTTTATATTTCTCAAACAATCAATTTTATACTCTAGTCTTTATGTTTATTATAATAACAATGATAAAAATTTTGTTTTTCTTTGTTCATCCTTTCCCTCAGTAGTCAGAATAATTTCGTTCTTTTTTAATAAATATGAAAAAAAAAAACAAAAAACAAAGTATTCTCATTAGTAATACTATTTTAGATTATGCAACCAATACGACAATTATTAACGACTGCAATTGTATGTTAAATATTTATTTGCAGATAATATATTTATATAGATGTATATTCTAGCAACGACGTTTAATACTTATACGTCCTTCATTGAGTGTACAACAAGTTCGTTATGATGGTAGTGATCCAACAACATCGAATTATAGAAAAAGTAGAACAATAAGAATCGATATTTTTTTTGTGTAGAAAAATTTTTATAAATTATTGAGCTTTCCATATCTCGAGGTTTTTCGTAGAAATAAGATCTTGTTTAACACGTCAGCTTTTATATAAATTGATGTTTTTTTCTTTATGCTATGAAGTGATAAATATGGCTGGTTTTCTACTTAGTTTCGATCGAACATTAATAAGGAAACTACCTTCATTATAACTCACTGCTCAAATTCCCAAGAAAGTTTCGGTACGATTAGAAAAAGCTAAAAAAAGGTTTGTGCCCATGATGCAATTTAGCCCATAGATTGATCTGATGACTCTTGAAATATGCTGAGAATTTTAGTGAAAGCGGAAAAGAATCATTCTTTGCTGAAATATTGAACTTCCAAAGGAAATCGATTTTTTGTGACAAGCGACTTTTTTTTGGAAATTTTAATATTTCGAAAAATGAATACTCTTTTTTGACCGAAGCATTCAGCATATTTCAGGGATCATTAAATCAATGTATAAACTCAATTTCAGATCGAAATCCTATTCCTTAATTTTTCAGTATTTATAAAAATGAGTCGGAAATTCAATATAACGGGCATAACTCGGATTTAGAAGCTCATATGCACAAACATTTTTAGGAATTATCAAGTCTTACCACGACCTCCTTGTGAATCCAATATGAGGTCAAACGATAGGTTACAGTCAGGATAGTTCCTATTAATACTGAAGTATCCGTACGTAAATATCTCCTTAATCATCCAACGCGATTAAATGAGGTTATCATCAGTTGAATGATTTTGTCCTTAAGTTTTATGTGATGAGTTTTACATCAATTATCGGAGCCTAGATAAATGGAAACAAAGATTATGTTATTAACGGTCGAACTTTAGTCATTACTTTAGGATATTCATAATTTAATCGATTTATTATACTTAGAGTTTTGCTATTGTCGCAATTTCATCCTTGATGTTTTTTTTTCAGTAAATTTGACTTCCAGGCTTTTTTCTCTTCAACCGTATATAATTAAAATTTGATTATTAGAATAACACATTTTGTTAAATATCTGTTAGTTTAAAATTGTTTAATGAAATTGAAAAAGAGAACATCATGTAAGTCTTTTAAAATGTACAATTTTAATAGGTGGAAAACAATCTGATCCGAGCAAAGGTAGTGATTTAAACAAAACGAAGATTAGTGATAAAAAACAAAGACCGAACACAGTTGATGATACAAAACAGCCAGGTGAATATATTATTATAGACTATAATATTTATTATTTTTTTCTTGTTATATTTTAGGCACAAAAAGAGAGGATTGGACTGATCCAAATAAAATAACCAGTAACGATCCACCTTATGGAAAAGCCGGTGGCTCCACAGATGCACATGATCCTAATCGTGGAAAGAAACCATAATTTTCTCTTTCGTTTTTGCTATATTCTACGCATTTTCATTTACTTATACGAGCAGATTTTTTTTTCAAAAGTCTAGTGTTTGATTCATTGTCTCAAGATTTCACATGATTTATCTTTGAATGTTTATAATAAACAAGCAATTATCATAGAAAAAAACTTTTCAATCATTTTATGTTCTTCAAATTCAAGACTGCATATCTCGTCTTTCGTATAATTTTGTGTGAGAAAGCATAGACTTGAGGTTATATACAAATATTCGATTATTATATCTCTAACAGATTTTATTCAAATAATCAAATGAAAAGTCAACATATACTAAATGTCAATACATTCTTCTTGAATAAAAGTAAATGTTAATTTATATTAAATATTACAGGTACGAACTTTTGTTACACGTTGATTTAGGCTATCAATGATTTGAAAATGGATAATTGTTTGAAGATTGCTGTCACAAATTCTTGTTCAAAACTAATTGAATATTGTCTTAAAAATATCCTAATTTGTTCTAAAAATCTATATTCAATTCTTTCATATTAGAGTTACTGCCCTTTTCATATCAATACTCTAAACTTGTGTTTTATTGTACTAAATCGATTAGCTTTACGCATACATTACTGTCAAAGTCGATCTTCACGTAGATGTATGTTTTTGTGCTTTCAAGATAGAATACAATATCATCAACATAAATAAACTAAATAGAAAATGTAATTGAATGATAAATCAATCGTCTTTGTATAATGCAGTTGAAAAGATATCTTCAATAATCGAGTTTACTTCTATCAACGTTTTGTTTTATATTTACAAGTCTTTTATTAATTAGATAATAAAATAATATCAATTACATAAGAATTTTCAATCAGCTCAATATTATTAAAATTGATATTGATATCATTTTTTTTCTAATATGAATAAGTGTAATTCGAATTATTCAAAAATGTTAGTAATGATCTCTTCACTAATCGTTTATATCTCGTGTGATATCCTAGGCAATATGTTCCGTATTGATAGCCAACTTATCAAATTTATCTTACTGTAGGATAAGTTGAAGAGAAGAAAAAAAGTAGAGAAAGTGCACATGTATTTCTTTAAATAATGTTCTTTCTATAGAGACGAATTTAGAGGATAGGGCTGATCTCTTTAATGGACATGAAAACATATTTTTGTAACAATGATCGTGCTCTGTCTCAATATCTTAGACTCATCACTGTCTTACTACTCTCATATATGTGACACATACAAGTTTTTTTAGGAGAACAAAGAGACAAATTATGTGGATTTATTTGATAAACAAATGACAGAAGCTAAGGAATTAAGAGTATGTCAGTAACAAAATTTTATTCATACTTTTCAACATAATAGAGTAGAAATTTGCATTCACCCCTGTCCCTTCCTCCGCACAGATCGTACACCAACCTTTTAACGACGTCCACCCTCTCCGCCAAAGCCTGTGGTAGACATTGCTGACATACGATCAAAGATCGTATATCATTAAAGTCGTCTTGTTATAATTGCATTTCTAAAAGATTAGGTAAAACGGTGGCGAAAAACAAATACAATAAAACAATCTCTCTGTGATGAACAACAGCAGCTACATAGTGTTTCATATTTTATCTAAAGTTTATGTTAGTGTTACTTTTAATTATATTAAAAGCAATTAAATGAATTATTCATGCATTACAAGTTTCATTTTTGATAATTTATCTCTTCAGAACTCCTTTATCCAAATACCAAAAATTAAACAAAACACAATGAATTCATTTATATATAAACACTTAACCTACATCTCAAAGATGTTGTGTCATCATAATTATAGAAAAAAAACATCCGGATAAGTCATTATTAGCTAGATCTATCTCTATAGCATATTTATCATATTTTGGTGTGCATTGTTCATTATTACTAGATTTAATGTTTTATTGTCGATCGATTTTGTGTCATAATACATATACTAATTAACAAAGGAATGAAATAGCACACCTGCTTATTTAAATGAATGTACAAAATTGACACATCATGTGTCTTAAATCAACAATCATTAGTTTAAATGTTTTATGTTGAACAAGCCGAGATACACCTATAATATATGTTTATTTATTTGATAACAGGAAATTATTTCATTTATTCTGACACTTATATGTTTTATTTTGATTTTTTTGTAAAGAAAAAAAAAACACCACATACAAACAAGAAATAATAATTTTTTCATTTTTTTGATTTTACGTTTTAATCAACTATTAAAAATTAATAGTAGATGATGATAATTCAGATTCTTTATTTGTATATTCAAGTGCTTTAAGATGTAATGTAGTTTTACTACTTGTTCGATGATTTTCTTCTTTTTCAAAATTTTGTTTTTCTAATATATTATTACTGTTCTTATCTATATTTTGATCTTTTGTATTTTCACAAGATATTGAAGCTAATTGTGCTAATTGTTGTAGAAAATTTATTCCAAATTGATTTGTTGATGACCAAAATGGTGTTAGAGGTGAAAACATTGGTAAACATGCTGCAGTTGCATTAAGAAATGATGTTGTAAGTGATGAATATGATGATAAAATTTCTGCTTGAGAAAATGAACTAAGACGAGTAAGAAGACTTGTTGGAGGTGTAAATAATGGATGTATATGTGTTGATGATGGAGTTGATAATGTTGTTGGTGGATTCATTTTTTCACGTTTACGCCATTTAGCACGTCGATTTTGAAACCATACTTGAACACGTGCTTCAGTTAGATCAATACGCATAGCTAATTCTTCTCTTTAATAAAAATAAATAATCATATATTTCAATAGTTGATCAATATGATAGATAAAGAATTAAATTTCAAAAAATTGACAATAAAAAATTAGCATTAGAATAACTGTTAAATTTCATAACCAAAAAGAAAACATATTAATAATAGAACTTGAAATTCACAATTTCAATTAATTTTTCAAATTAAACTAGTTCAAAATCGATCTATCTCTAAATAAAATGCTATAATTTATCAACAATGTTTAATGAAATAATTCAAGTATTACATAATGTTATATTTTAATCCTCTAATAAATCAAAACAACAATTTTCTAATTCTTCATTAAACGACATATTCAAATGAAGATGTGTTATTCATGTTGAGATATTAAACATCTGTTAATAATCATTTTGTATAGAAACATTTGCTCACCTACGGCAATACATAGTAACTGAATTGATAATCTGATATTAAAAAGTAGAATAGTGTGAAAAACATAATTTTCAATCAAATAAATAACAACTGATTTATCTTTTCTATTCGATTTCATTTTGTCACAATTATGTGTAAAAGAGCCGTTTTCAAAACAAACTCATCAAATAATCATAAATGTATCACCTAAATAATAGATCGCTTCTTCGTGTGATAAGTGTATATCATAATAATTTTTCTACTGTAAATGTATGAAATGTTGACATAGGTAGTTGTTCAACTATTGGTTTATACAAAAAAAAAGAAAAGATAAACATCATTAGGCAGAAATAGCATGTGCTCGTAATACTAAGTACTTCTTATTGTACAGTTCATATAATTGTTACTCAATGAATAAAACTAAATTATGCTCAATAATATTGGCTTAAAAACAAAATTTCACAATCTCAATCAGTAAATAGCTATTGAATACTCATGGAGAAAAACAAGAAATTTTCATTATAATTCGACTTATTCTTGTTAAAAACATTCATTACAGAAACATGATAGAACTTATCTTTTTTGAGAATATAGACAGTGAAGCTACTAGGCTAAGATAAATTCAAATATTTCTTTCTCGTTCTAATACATTCACAGATTTATGTATAGAAGATTTAGAAAACATTCTTAAAAAAAATCTTCAATGTTTTGTGTTGACTGAATATTGAACCTATATTACTAATTACTTGAGAAATAGTATTTCTTTATTACTAATATTTTCGATGAAGTCAACAAGCAAACTCTTTTCTGTGAATAGTCGAAATAAAACAAACAAGATATGTTGCTGTGTTTCTTAAAAACATACATCTTTTGATACAAATTATGAAATTTTTCTGAATCTTACTAACTCTAATTCTTAAATTTCTGGTAGAGATTATTAAGTCTACTCTAGATATCAAAATGTTTCACGATTTTTTGAGAAATTTTAATGAATTTACCTCATAAAAACATCTGGATAATGTGTACGTTGAAATGCTTTTTCTAATTCTTCTAATTGCATTGAAGTAAATGTTGTTCTTAACAAAAAAAAATAAAATTTTTCTATTATAATAATTAATTTTTTTATTTTTATTACCTATAACGTCGTTGTTTTCGTTTATGATTTTCTTCATCACTGTAACCACTTAAACTATCACTTTCTTCTTTTTCAATATTATCTAATCCTACCATTTTGATTTCTTTGTTAGGACTATCACTTGATTGATCAGTATGAATATCCATTGAATGATAATGTGAATAAGTTTCGTTTTTCCAGTTAATCTCTTCACTATGTTTAATATCTGTCATTATCGTCGATCAAACGAATATGTATTAATCTGATCGTATTGAGATAGAAAGAGAGAAAGATACAATTGGCTTCCTATCAATTAAATGACAAATGATTGGTAGAGAGAGAGAGAACATAGAAAGTTCTCTTCTTTCAATCGTTATTGTTGTTCACGATTGGATGTATTATAGTTAAATATAAGTAAGAGAAAAAGAAAAAAAAAAGGGAATGGTTTAGATTGATTTATTGTTTACATAGCTCAAACAAAAAAAAAAGAAAGACAAGGAAACAGGCTTAATTTTTTGTTCAACGTAAAAAAAAACAAGTTCTCGTCCAATTAGAAACGATTAAAGAGAGGTAGTTTAATGGCTTATTAATAATGAGTATTTCCGATCATTGTTTGAAGTCTATATATACCTATCATCAGACATGAATAAATAAATATCAATTGAAGCTATTCGACTAATCGATTATGTTATAATCATCGAAAGATTTAGGAGAGGAAAAGAGAAATGATTACGTTTGGACTTTAAAATTTTTGTTTTATTTGAATTAGGTTGATAATCGAAGAGTTTAGTTTAAATTTATGTAACTAAAAATTATTACATTAACAGTTGACCCATAAAGAATTGAACTATTATTAATTTTGAAATTTCTCTTATACGATAAAAGCCTTTTTTTTTTAAATCAAAACATAGCGCTTGAAATTCTACACAGTATGATATATAAATGAATTCACAAATATAGTCTTCTTCATTTTTTCTTTGATTAAATGTAATCCTCTATTAAAATCAAGTACAAAATTTGAAGTTTTTTCTTTTGAAATTCTCTTTTGACAGAACGTTTTCTCTCGTTTATCAATGTTGCTTTTGTTATTATGTGATTTCATTCCATCAACTATAATCTAACGGTTGTAAATCAGGTGAATTTGGTGACTGACGACACTTCGGAATGAATGCAAGGGAACGATCAATATAAAATTTGTGACTTAGATTATGTGTATGAGGTGTTGCATCATCTTGCTGATATGTTTAGTTGTTGTCTAACATTTTATTGTCGGACTTTAGCGCTGTTGAAAAAGCTTCATTAATCTATGCTTGAGCATTCAGAAGTTTGTTTTCTCATGAACAACACTTTTCTTGTCTGTTTCTTTCCTATTCACAGTCTTCATCCGATCGTTTTAAGTATTGCAGTTAATGTATAGAATAACTTGAGTGAAATTATGAATCTGGATCATATAATCATAAAAGCAACATTGATAGACCAAATAAAATATTTCTATCAGAAACAAATTAAAAAAAAGAAAAAA